TGAAAAAATTGAAACCTAAACATAACATGAGTAAATAAAACAATTTATATAACAAATATAAATTGATATAATAGTTTAAATAACAAACATAAATTGATAAAACAGTTCAAAAAACAAACTTAAATTGATGCCATAAAAGTTAAATAAAATATCATTCCCGCAGCAGACCAGGAGAAGGAAGGCAGTCACGACAAAGCGGGTGGCGGGAGGCCAGCATCACAGGTGTGGTGGTGGCGGTGCTGCCGTCGGGCGCCGCCACCCGCCACCAGCCCGCGGCCGTCGACCGCCAGCAGCCCAGCAGAGCTGGACGCTGGACTGCCTGGCACTCGGCCCAGCTCTACCAGGAGCTCCAGACTCCATAAACGGTATAGTGAAGGATTTCCTTCAAGGTAAATGGCGGTGAATCAAAGTCGATTGCTTGTTGATTTCCCTGAAAAATTGTTTGATTAACATTTGTTCAACCACAGAAGCATCAACCAAATTCAACTATTAATGGCGGAGATAATTTTTTCCTTTTGGTATTTACAAAACTTTTAAAACTTTCACTGGGCCGATATCCTTCAATGTCCTTTGTTTGACATTCGGACTCAGTCGCCATGTTTTGACATATGCTATTAAGGACCAATTTTGTTATATTGCGCACTTAAATTTTGGAGCATATTTGCTACATTGATCTGTAAAATAAACAGCAATTTTAGCTCCGATCTTTTTTAAATGCACAATACCCAGCTAAACTTCACATTGGAGACATCGATGCTGTGATTATATGAAGAATAAATGCGTAAATCTCCAACAAGAGAGTATTAACACTTTTCATGGACTGTTGATGCGTTTCTTCGGTACATAGTGCGATATGATGCAGTCTATTATGCAGTACCACAGGCAGTTTCGGTTACGAACACTAAATTTAAATAATAACTTTTCAAACTGTTGCCAGAATGGGAAACGACACCCTATATCGTATACTGTATGTCTTCTTTCTTTTGTATTTAGCAATCACTTCGGTTGGTGTTGCTTTCTTCAATAGTGTTGATAACCTATTTTATTGCGAATGGCAAAGCAATAAATAAATAAACCTTTGTGCAGAATGTCAAGTGTGGAACGTGACCGGGAAATAACGCAAGCAGTTCTCATCAACGTGATAGTCTTCATCCTCGCCTGCTTCCCGATGCTCATTGTGGGAGGCTGGATGATGTACTTGTTCTTCACGCACCAGGTGAGGCTGGATGATGTACTTGTTCTTCACGCACCAGGTGAGGCTGGATGATGTACTTGTTCTACACGCACCAGGTGAGGCTGGATGATGTACTTGTTCTTCACGCACCAGGTGAGGCTGGATGATGTACTTGTTCTTCACGCACCAGGTGAGGCTAGTATTGGCTTGAAAATAAAGTTGTATAAATCAAGTTTTTATTGCTTTAAAATCGAATTTTTTTATCAGTCATGAACGAAACTTTCATAATTGCATTTGTGGCGGCTGTTTATTTCATATTAACTTTTTCCCTCTAAATGCAAACCGATAGCTGAATTCTAAGCATTTATCTTCTCGATATCATTCCACTCTACTGTATAAAATTAAGTGACATACATCGTAAGTACCATATCACTCTGCTGTATAAATACAAGTGCCATCCCTCGCAGGTGTCATTGAATCACCGTGCACCACTGAAGCAGCTGCTGTTCGTGGCGCCGTGGCTGCTGGCACTGAACAGCGTGTGGAACAGCGCCCTGCACTTCGTCTATAACCGCAACTTCAGACGCGCCACCTGGCGGCTCTGTGGCAAGGTCTGGCGACCACGCTGTGCGCATCGTGTTAAGAAATGATATTGATGATGATGACAATTAATTAATAATGATGTTGATAAGAATGAGTGATGATTATATCAAAACATTATATGTATGATAAATTTAAGAAGTGAGGGTAGCCGAAAGTAATAACCGCATGAGAAGTGGTGCTTAGCATCGTAGGAGATTTGTATAGGCAGTGGTAACGGGAAGGAAGTCGTTGATAGAGGTTGAGGACGAGCAGTGAGAAGCCAGGGTTGTTCGTATAATTACGTAAACAAAACCTAAGGTGCAATGCGGAAGTTTTTTAAAGTATTGCGATGGCGTCGTCAGTGTACAAGCATTCGGCGTCAATGAAATAATTCGGTTTTCTGTAATTACTTTAACTATGAAGATTAAAAAAAATCATCACGCGGAGCTCGTAAGGAAAGAGGCTGCTCACCACTGCTGGGCAAAAAAACACTGAAGCTCGACGGGCAAACTATGAACTCTTGTGCACTAACAAAGTGGAATTAAATGATGTGGCGAACTGTACAAATTTTTGTGGATATGTAAGCATGTTGTATCTTGATTATTTTTGGTATAGGTGATATTGAATATGATCAAAAAGGTGTGTGAAAATGCAAAAAATTTTTATAAATTTCACTCGAGTCTCTTATGCTCTAATTTAAGGAAATACTGACAAAAATGCAAAGACATATAGCCCAAAAATTACTAGATTGCTTAAGTCGCAAGTTTACCAGGAATTTAAAAGCAAAGAAAACAGCCAGAGTATTAACCATTTCTTAAGAATGAAAACGTTTCGGAGTCCAGCTCCATCGTCAGTTCAAAAGTTCAAAACCTATAAGAAAATAAGAATCAATTAGAAAACTAAATTCACATCGAAGATAAAAACATAATTGACAAAATAAAAACAAATACACATAAGGAGACAGGCCTATCTATTTACAATTTCAAGGGGATAGGAGCTGAAGGCTGCATTTAAACCAGGTTTCTGTTTAAAAATGTACAGGGATTCTAAAATCCGTAGGTCAGTAACACCGGTCGTGTAAGCTAGAACTCTGAAATCACTATCAGACACCGGAACATTGCACTGCTCGGCATGGACGCGCACAGCTGAATGAGGAGGACTTTTAAATTCCTGGTGAGACATATAGCCTATTTGCAATTTCTTAAATTTATTAATAATGTAATGAAACGAAACATCCTGTCTGAACTTTTAAATATGTATTGTAAAAGTTACCTAGCTTCTTTAAAGTGACAATAATTTACTTATAACAGAATTAGTATTGTCATATTAAACAACACAAAAATATTATGCTTAATTTCGGCAAGGAGCGACTAATGCACATATCGGCTAGAAATTTAAGATAATTGAATTACTTGGGCATAGATTTGTATGCTCAAGAAGACTGATGCCAAAGATATTACAGTTAATGCTTTATTATAAGGCAAAATGGGAAGAAACCGAACCTATTTTAATGTAATAGGATTAAATTGAGTGTGCATATACTCGAATGTTAGATTTAATGGCCCAAGTTGATAGTTACAAATTATGCTTATTATTTCTATATGGCATTATTTATCGTATTTCTATTTAATGATGTTTGAGTTTCTTTATTACATTTAATTTGGCCACATTGACCCTCAGTCGTACTAACGGTATAAAAATATTAAAAGTAAATGATTTCGTATGAGGAATTATATGCGAATAAGGAAATTGGCAGTTTTTGTGACGCGTTTCTTATATTGGATCATCAGGCATTGGCGGAAATTTTTAATTTAGTTGATAAGCAACCATTTGATGAGTAACCACTTGAAAATTAACCATTTAAAAATGTATTTATGTGACAAATTATTGTCCCGAAGTCTAATGAAATAAAGATGATTCGACGAGGTATTTCCGATCGATTCCTGCTTTTCCAGTTTTGGGTATTTTTTGAGTTTCTATATGCAATAAAAATAGGATAGGCAGAGACATTCAGCACAAGATTTGGATATGAATGGTAAACACGATAGGATTTGATCATTACAGTCTAGCCGTAGCCATGCAACAAACGCATGTTAACATTTAATAATTATAGCGTCCAAAGGAATGACAGAATTCCAAATGCTAGGATTTTAATATCTTTTGTTTAGTTATAAGCTAAAATATTACAATTTTAACAGACGATAACGAAAAACAATGAACAATTACATATCTTACTAAAGTATATTAAAGAATTGTTCTATGTACAGCAGCGAGAAAGACGCTTCACCATTATTCTGGGTACTAATTGATTCATGTCATTCGTATTTAATTTGGATCTAGAGTGCATACGATCCTTCTGATGGATCAGCTCGGTAATATCAGTATTATGCCAGTCAATTACAATTTTTCTTTCAACATTCTAACAATAGAAACTATTATTTTATCAAAACATTAAAGAGAGAAAGAAAGTTCATAATCTTCTTCTGAAATTTAATAGATGAAAAAATTATAATAACAGAAACGGGCAACGACAGGTTCATCCAGACATTGTATTTCCAAAGGCGGAATGAACGAAATTTTTGTATATCAATTCGAACTCACGAAACAAAAGTGCGGCTTATAATGTGCGTAGAAACATGAAAGATGCTCACTATTTAAGCAGATGCTCAATTATCATTGATTTATCGTAAATGAGAGCTCATCACCATTCAGGTATCAAGAGCAGAAAATGAATAACCTAATTCAAAGAAACAGGGAGCGGTAAGTGAGATACTGGTAAAAAATTGCCTGTCATTTTCAACATAACAGACATTCATCGTCTGTTCTTCAGGTATTCGTAAAATTAATAAAAGTTTATTATACTGCTAGATCAAAATGAATACTTTAAGGCAAACTTACTTCTAATCACTGACAAGGCATTTTTCATTTTCACATTTTGCAAAAGATGAAAAGGTAAAAGTTGCTTATTGCAATTATAGAACGAGGATGTAGATTCTGAAGGTACCATCAAAAAGGAGAAAAAGTCGATGGAATACATATCGTCATCCACCGAATTTGTTTTAATTTATCAAATTATTGCCAAATAAAAAATGTTCAGTTTATTTTGGACTATCTATAAATAAAACTTGAAATCCCACAAAATGCAACGCAACAGGGAATTGTTGAAAAATAATTTCCGGAATTAAATATTTCTTCCTGACATATTTTTCATAGTTGTACGTAGAAAATAATTAAATGCGTCAAGTTAAATAGGCGAGCACATGTAAGTTACAGCATCTGGCCACCAGAAGATGAAAAATATTACAAAAATTGGGCAATTGTATCGAGGGACTGCAGTTGTGGGTGTGATGGGAGCCAATGTTGTCGTAGCTGTAGTCGCAGTAGAAGCAGAGGTAGGTGCTGTAGTGGGTGTTGTAGGAGGTGTTGCAGGTGTTGTTGTAGGTGTTGTAGTAGAGGTTGTAGGTGCTGTGGTTGTAAGAAGTGAAATGCATTCATGGTTCGCAGGGAACTTATCAAGAGGTTGACATGTCATATTTGTGTTGCTGTACAGAGTTCCCTCTGGTGCGCAGCGACTCAACACTTGTCGGTAAGGGGAGCTGTCACCTCCTGTTGAGGGGAACAAACAAGTGTAGTACCACCGACAATCGTTGCGGTTAGCAAACGTACCTAAACCAGAACACCGGGGAACAGGATGGACTTGCGCACAAATTTTCTGTGTTGGGAGGAACTCTTTAGATGGTTCACAGGCATCTAATTTAGGATAATGAGAACCATCGCACTGAAAGTACGAGCCAGGGTCGAAAGGATCAGGTTTTTTCTCAGTCACTCCCTGGGTGCACGAGCAGTTGGTCTGAAGACCAGGTTTACAAACCCCTCCTCCAAACGCAGGGTCCGGGTAACACGATTCCTGTAACAAAGCAGCTGATGTTAAAAGTACGAATATGTAGAAAGTGGTTCAAACATCGATGTAATGGTGCAAGTTAAATCAAAATAAATGGTCATAACTAACATATATTAAATAATAATATATGGTCGGCAGGATGGAGTTGTTGAATAAAGAGCAGGTCTAAACATTGAACAGTCAAAATTCGAGCGCCAAATACGAAATTAGCTAGTCATGCATTCATACAAAATCAAAAGTCATAAGCCAGTCTCAGTATAGCTTGGGCATTTGACTAAAAGATAAATGCTTAATCATTTTCTCATGGAATCAAGCGTCCTCTTCAACCCATACAAATTTTTTAGGCTAATTTTGATTCGAAGCCTACTTATTCGTTTAATTATCTGGTGTATAAGAATTTTTTTACAAAAAAGGTGAAATAAGCGGCTTTGTCCAATTCACAACCTGATTTGCTAACCTCTGACCTTAAAAGAACCTGACTGCATGGAAAATATTTCTTACTTCTGGAACGGAACATCTGTCCACGAAGGCCATATTGTCGACGCAGATGACGGATAATGAACATGTGGCGCAGCCAAAGTAAGTTTGATTGTGAACGCAGACGTGATCGTGGCTTGGAGCTCTGACAGGAGCTAAGGGCTGCGGGGGCTGGCCAGGTCTCGGGTCCAGCTGAACTTCTCTCGCGCTGCAAAATTTATTATTTTTTTTAGGCTTTGAGTTCAAAGAATCTCTTTGAAGTCAGAAAAAGAAGCTGGTTTAGCGGAAATAAGGCTGTGCAACATTGACGATTTTAAATGAATAAGTTGTAATTATTGTAGTTATTTCGTATTTTGGTTGCATTAAAGCAACAAATTTAACATAGAAATATACTTTTATTGCATCATTCTCTTTCAGCAACTTCATCCTGATTTTCTTCTACATGGACAATTTCTCAGTTTTGTGCACCGGATTATATTATTTTTTTATTGACTTTTATTTTAATTAAACTCTCCTGTGCCCATTAATATATTAATTGTTGAACCTATTTCTATCTGTGATTATAATTTCCCTTTCGTTAGTCCATGAAGGCATGATTTAGGAAATTGAATAAACACATTTTATGCCACGTTAATTTATATGTGTTATTGTTTCACTTACATTCATGTAGTCCGCCAAGAATAAACTATATGATATTTTCGTATAGGTATATAAGTTTATTTTTTATATATATATATAAGGTAATATATATTCTATATCTATTATTTATGGAATATATATAATATATATATATATATATTTTAAAATATATAAGTCTAACAATAGCCGGACAGAGTTGGTAACATTACCGAACATGGGTTAGAAACCCGGACAAAATCGCGTCCGATTGTGTACTCTGCAATTAGTTTTTACTTAAAAACCGGTCGCGAAAATAAATGAACTACATTATCGGACATAAAAAAACGCCAACAAGGTTGGGGTTGGAGTTAGGGTTAGGTGTGTATAAAACCCTTCTTTACGTTGCTAGAGACCTTTCTATAGCGGTTGGGTCCAGCCAGGTAAATTTTATAACCTTTTTTCTCAATTTAGAAAAAAGTAAAGTCCGGATAATTGGAATTAAAAATAAATATAATATCCATATATATAATGTATATATTATAATTATATATATTCTATATATATAATATCTCATAATTCTTCTATAAGCTTATATTTCACTCGAGTTTTGATTATTCGTAATTTTATAAATTCCCACTATTTATTGATTACAGGTAGGTAGTTGCAGAACAGACATAGGATACGCATAGGATACGGTCGTTATAGGCATAGGATACGGTCGGATTGGATAGTGGCCAACATACCGGAGCGTAAATTGAGTGAAATGTTGTGTATTGTTAATAGATATCGTTCGTCTTGAAAATAAACAGAATGTAATGCAACAATCTTAAAGGTATTTCACATGATGTTCTATTTTCGTAGTCTTGATTATTGACTTGAAGTTTGAGTGACTTGTATGATGTATAATGTTTTCAAAGTAGTTCAAAAGTGACGAACGTCCGGCTATTTTTTTGATAGATCATAATAATCTTGCGTTTACATGCAAAATGGAGCATTTTTCGTCGCATTAAATATAAGAGAAAATGTCTCCTTTGTATTATAATTCACACCAGTATTGTGAATATTTTTCCACTCACGCCTTAGCCTCAAAACCCGAAATGTCGTCAGAAGCGAGCGATTTGCGTAGAAGCATCAGGGCCCCCGATCTCCGCAAACCTGCTCGTCCAACCTGGATAAATAAAATAAAATCATTAATCAAACCTAGAATCGAATAGACTGCATGAAAACAAGAAAGGTTCTGAGCAGTTGCAGACCATTGGTCTGCATTGCTTTTCAATTGAAATTATCCGAGTTTCATAAGAAAGCATTCGCATCTCACATGGGTCACGTGGTCATAATCGTCAAAGATTAAGGTTAAAACAACAGTCTTGAGTAATTCTAATCTTGGCTGAGATATCCTTATGTCATTATGAACTAATTTTTCCTAACTGAACCGATGCAACAAAAAAAAAAAAGAACGATGCAACAAGTAATTGAATTAACGAGTTTGAGTAGAAATCTTTATGATGAAGTTAATTGTAAGAACAACTAAATAAACAAATCAAGTAATTGATTAACAAGCGTAGAGGATTTACAAGAAAAAATATCAGAAAACTTTCGTTTCCACTGACTTTGAAGGCGCCGCCAAATGAAGGCAACGTTTAGTGACTGTCGCAAAAAATAATTGGTTATCGATCATGTTTCGCCAAATACCAATGTGTACCATTAGCCTTTGTAAGTAATGAGAAGATCGGTGGAATATTGTAAGTAACCATAAAAATAACACTTGCACAATTTTTGGCATTTTTTCGACGGAAAAATTATGTGAGATGTTTTTAAAATTTTAACGTAGGAAAGCTGTAATTGTATCAAGTTTGCGCATACTCATATCATCACATATGTAATATTGTAAAATATTCAAAACTTTTATCCGCAACACGTGCGGCATGTTGCATATTAATTTGTGTGTGACATATGAAAATTTGTGTATGATGCATAAAAATTTTTGCATCGTGCACTCTAATATGTCTATAATGTACACTAATAGGTTATGATGTGCACTAATATGAATATGATACATACTATTAAATATGGGGATTTTGCACAATAATATATAAATGATAGACACGAATATGAATTGATACATACTAATAAACTGTGTAATATGCACAATAATAAGTATATGATACGTGAATAATAATTACATTGTTTGCTACCATGTGTATGATGGATACTTATAGTTTTTTCTTGCTCGCAAGTTGTTATTTTCTATTAAGTGACTATTTAAAATAAATATATATTTAACTATTTAAATAAATATATAATAAAATAAAATATATTTTCGTGTCTATTTAAAACACGGAAAAGTTCGTTACGACTCCTGGGTCAAAGCCGCGATGAGGCAATTCGAATTTCATCATTTCTGAGTCTGCTTTCTTAGAAAGACTCAAAGAAGTTCAACCATACTTCATATTTAGCTGTGTGCGTCAAAAAAAACTCTATCATCGGAAAGTTAATGATATAAATAAGAGAAAAATTTCATGCAAATTTTCGTACCTCTCATGTACGAGTTTATTTGTTCACTAGGTTCGGTGGCAGTGTGAGTTAGGCAGGAATTATGCCGAAAAGATATCGAATTAAATTTTATTCATACAAGATTAGTAAACTATTACGAGTGTAATTATGTCCAACTATGCATGGTTATGAATAGTGCGTCGTGAATATTGCTGCCTCCGTCAATACATGATACAAGGACAAATGCTTCGACCTTCGACAAATACTAAAAAATATTTCGATTTTTAAAATAGGTAAAATTTAAAAAAATTATATAAACATTATTCAATTCTAACGCTAGTGACAATCACTGTGATCAAATTACCTGAAGGTCGGAAGATATTGTGGCCACAGCCAAGAACAAAATCACCGTCACAATGATTCCAGTCATCTCAGTTGTCAGCAATAACTCTTGTTGTCAGCAGTCAACTCCTGTCAGCAGTCAACTCGTCTGCAGTCAACTCTTGTCCGCAGTCAACTCTTGTCACCAGCTGTCATCGGATGATTGTTAACGGGCACTTGAGTGTCACTCCACAGTAAACTCTTATATTCCGTAGCCCTCCACGTCGATGAGTCATGCACGCAAGTATGTGTCTGTAACATATATAGTCTGTAACATATATAGTCTGTAATATATATAGTCTGTAACAGATAAAATAAAACAAAACTATATTCAAACTAAAAGGGGCCAGATACCTGTTATAAATGATGACATCTTTGCCATAACTTCTGGTAAACGCCATAAGGGACCACGTCAACTTTATTGCAACTTTTATTGCAACGTCAACTTATTGCGTCAACTATTGCAGTGCCTGCAGATATTATGACAAAAGTACTTTGGAATCAGGAGGAGTGAAAAAAATTTTGCGTGGCCAGAAAAATATGAAGAGGCAAATATTTGTTGACCGCATTTATTAAATATTATTTTAATAATATGCGTTTACAAATTACTTCTTAAAGACAACTTTTCTAAAGAACACTTAAACAGTGTCAACACTTCAACAGTGTCTCCTATATTGCGCATCTACAATGAATTTCTAATTTTATTCCCATATATTAATAAAAATAATTTTTAATTTTTTTTAATAATAATATATTTAAAAAAATTAAATTTGTAAAATTATTTATTCTGTCAATTGATTCATGCCTTGTCTTCAACTTTGCACAAGTGTGCAAAATTTTAGATTGATTGGACAGGTAGAAGTGTGTTTAATATCGATTATAAGATTTGTAGCAGAAAAAATAATTTTTTCGATTTTTCAAATTACAAAAAAAATTGTTTTAATTTCTAAATTATATATTCTGTTAATTGATTCATGCCTTGTCTTCAACTTTACGCAAGTGTGCAAAATTTTAGATCAATTGGACCGTTAGAAGTGTGTTTAATATTGATTATAAGATTTGTAGCAGACAGACAAACAAACAAACAAACAGACAAGAAGTGAAGTTAAAGAGAAGTGTTGTAAAAATCAATAATAGTCAGTCCAGTAGTTAATCTTAAATTTATTTCCAAAAAATTATACGAAATTTTAATTTGAACGAAAAATATGGTATTATGGTAAATGAAAGTATTTCGTGTTTATGACGAGATAAAAAGGAATTACTGTAAGAAATTTTCAAAAGAATTGTCGTTAAACCATTTAATTAATTCACGAAAGTGGAAGAAATTCCCGATGTAAATCCTTTTACAAAGTCACTGTGATTATAGTTGCAATTTTTGAGTACATTTTGGATGCGTTAAAAATATGGATCGGGACAAAAATATATACTTAAAAATGTGAAACATTATCCTGCAAAGTCGGTCTAATTGTGGAATAAAGTAAATAATAATGCAGGTTGTAATATTTTATGAAACATTATTTTAATCTCACCTTAAGCTACATGCTCACTGATGATATAGTGAACTCTGGAGAGCTGCATCAATCACATGCACCTTCCCTTGATAGCGGCCGGAGCCAAAGTGAGGGCCAAGTGCTTGCTGAGGCAAAGAAGTCGGCAATCATGCCGCCGTGACCTACCAACTGCCGTCCCACGGTGATTGCTTCATTTAACGAAACTACCAACGAATTAATAACGAATGAACTGGCTACGAACGGATTAATCACGAATGAATTTATAAGGAACAAATTTACCACAAACGAATTATTTATGAAAGATTTAATTACGGAAGGATTTCATCACGAACTATTTAGCCCGAGAATGAATAAATACGACTAATTATCACAGACTGCAAAAATCAACGCATTTGGTGACGAACTGCAAATCTCACAGCTCGTAGAAAAAAGCCGGAAACGGAACATCGGCCACGAATGATGAAAATGTTAATTTTAATCGTTTAAACATCGAATATGTCTTAAAGCTTAATACTTGAAAAATTAAGTTTGAGTTTCACAACATTAGCATCTGCAGTCTCAACTTGACTTAAATTAACTTGAGTTGGTTAAGCAAAATTTAACTAAATGGCTTGCTATGATATTTCTCACAGTCATTTACTGTACTGCTGAAGGATCAGTCATTATAAGTCACAATAATTTGGTATTTGTTGTGCTTTCTTTGCAGTAAAGTTCTTGTGGTATCAATTATGTTATTCATCGTCGGAATTCATTTTTTATTTATTTTAACATAATTCTACTGTATAGCTTTACAGCCGAATAGAAATTTGATTACTTTTCATAACCTCATTTTTTATACATTGTTAAATAATCCTTTTAAATAATCCTTTTTCATTGTTAAATAACACAGTATATGAATTATATATGTTCTGTTTTATAAAAAGCTATTAAGAAAATAAATAAATATATATTTTTATAGAAACATTACCATTGGCAATGCTTTTATTGCTCATTTTGTCTCAAACTTAGCAACATATATTCTAAAAATATTTTAGCCGAGTTACTTTGAACAATTTCTGGAAACAAATTTTCTGCAGACATCGAATCAACGGTGAATGCATATTCCTATTTACACCTGCAAACATTGTCATCATAAATATAACAAGCACGACACCAGGTCACACCAACCTCTTCCTATAACTGTACTTTTTAACATTAACTTTAACAATAATTATGTGAACGGAACTTCGAATTTCACTCTGGGTTTCAAATAATCGTAATTTTGCATAATAACACAGCTACTTTGTAGAAAATAAAAAAATGAAACAATACATAATTCACACTTTCAGCATGAATGGAGAGGGAGTACCATATCAAAAAGTTATTAATTTTTTAATAAATGAAGGTACTTTTTCTACTCAGTGGAAATTGTGATGCAATAAATTAAGAATAAAAAGTTGTCTTAATCAAGAGTGTAACGCACTGCATGTCACGTACGTCACACTGTCGTAACAAACGATTAAGTTCGTAGGAAATTCGTGCTTGATTTCTTCAGATTTGTATGCGACACGTAAATGGTAACGTGGTGTCCGGACTCTGTAATGCCCGGAAAATTGCAGCGTCTCTGAAGAAATTAGTATTCAAGGCGTGAGAAATTATAAAAATTAAGTAACTTATTCGAATGACTGAGTTAGTACCTAACTAGGCGTTCTCAGATTATTTCCAATAAAATATACAAATAGGTCACCCAGCCAATGACATTAATTTCAACCACATGCAAGACACGCTACCAAGAAACTCATTTGACTCAGATTATTTCCAATAAAAAGTATAAATAGGTCGCTATAATCGGGATCGAGTGTGTGAGTGACAATATTTTGCATGCCGCGTGCAGAAAAATTGTAGCCTCCACTAACTGCCATCTTTGTGCCAATGAGAGACTGAGACACTGAACCCAACTGCATGTGTGAACAATAAGTTTTTCAAAAGTTTGTAATATTATGTTATTTCTTTAGCACACATATCAATCGTTGTCAGTGACAATTGCATGTAATATAAGCTTACCTACTGAAGCAGGAGACTTGAGTCTCTATTATTTTTTTTTATTTGACAGAATATTATTATTTTGATCAGAAATAAGTATATTGGTTCTCGTCAGTCTTGTTTGCACGCCCCTGCCTCACGTCAAACATAGAGCCAAAATAAGTAACCCAGGACAATAATTTGCAAAAAAAAATTAAGTGAAAAACATAATCATTGACTGAAAGAAATTGAATTCCAAGCCAAACCAAATAATGCATTAGCGCAAGTTATTCACTAAACGCCCATGCACAGAACACAAAAGCTGGGCCAAAATAGGTCAGAATGACCCACATGAGGCAAAAAGTGCATTGCTATTCGGACAAGGTCTCAAACATTTCTCTGGGTGTACCCTTGAAGGAGGAAAAATCTAACCGAACGTGACCAGCAAGCAGGAGTCAGAGGATGTCTGTGATGCTCTCGACACACGGGGCGACTGAATAAAAAAATAACTCAGTACTCACTGCAGTGAGTAACAGAGAGCGCATTTTCTCGTCGACGATAACTTGAGGTCACGGACAGACGGACAGACAGACAGACAGACAGACGGACGGACGGACGGACATGGCGAGCACAATAGTGCATTTTTTCCATAAATGAGAAAATGCGCTAAAAACTGCCTTGGTATCTCTGCCGGCATTATTGTGATGATATGTACTTATTGATGAGATGTTGGTTAGTAGATGCATGACATTACATTATGACCATTTTTAGCGCATTTTCTCATTTATGGAAAAAAGGCGCTATTGTGCTCGCCATGTCCGTCCGTCCGTTAGTCCGTCCGTCTGTCTGTCTGTCCGTCCGTAGCTTCACGTTTCCGTCGACGAGGAAATGCGCTCTCTGTCACTCACTGCAGTGAGTACCGAGTTATTTTTTTCAGTGTTGTCCGTGATAAATAATTTAATAATACTCATTATTCTCAACTGCCCATAAAAAAGCATGCATATAAAAATGATTATTTATAAGTACAACTTATTAAGCAATATGGATTGACCAGTAATAATGCTTAGTATTATACACTACAGTATGATCAACTATCAAAATAATTATCGATGGTTCATCATTAATAAATTTCAAGAATATAAGTAGCTAAAAATTTAATGAAAAACATTAATGATAGATCAGCGTAAGATAATTTTAAGTGGAGTTATACGGAAGGGAGAATCACTTGCAAAACGATTTGATAAAAAATTTATATTGATTTCTTTTAGAAACTAATATATACGACTCCTGCACTGCTTGGTTTGACAAATTAGATCGTGCACCATATAGTAAAGCTAGTTTATGTTTTGGTGATATTCATGTACGAGTATGACATTTTTGTTCCGTTGATATCTTCAAGCCCAAAATTGAACCTTGTATGAACGTATCATACATTTTTATGAGACATAAACATAAGTATTAATACAATTTTAAACAATTGGCTCCAAAACATTTTTAACGCGTCATCAGATAGGATTTATGCTTACTCTGTTTTAACTTAGTTTCATTTTCTGTTCGGAGATTCTAAGGTAATTCGAGAAATATAACTGTTGCGCCTCGCAACGAATTCAACAGTCGCGTTCAAAGTAACGTTTAACATGCAAATAAAATTAGAAATTAATTCAACCGCACTGAGAGTTTTACTTTAGGTTAATAATTGTTAACAAAAGTTCTAGAATTTGCAGATGGATTATCGTATCATCTCTTGCTACATTGTAATATAATTATCTGAAATAAGTTGCAAAAAAGGTTCTATTAGGCCTGTTGGCATAATTCTGGAAATACGCCTGGTTCAGTTAGTGCTTATTCAGATAAACATAATTGTATAAATACTTTGACTTTTCGGTCATGAAAATCATTTTGCTAACTGAATTTGAAAATTTACAACATATCATATTGAAATTTCTTTTTTCATCGATCAAATTCAGATCTTTTTCTTGAATTTAATTTCTGTGTCATTAGTTATTGCTTTCTTAAACGAAAGCGGGTTGTACAGAATTAATAACGTTGGGGCTAGGCGAGAAAGTTTTTAATATCCTCAGAAAAATATCATGCTGCTATTGGGACAGGTTTAGAAGCAAAGGATTCGCAATTTGTTCAGGGATGTGGGGGGATTTCCCTATAAGATTATATAAGATTTCCCGATTTCCTAGTTTAAAAATAAGGACATGAAGCAAGTGATTCGAGGAAGACGAGTTCTTTTGACTACAGAATGTGAAAATGTGTTCAATTTCTATCGTAATTTTACCCTGTTGCCTTAATTTACAGGTGTTACAAACACCGAATAATAACTAAGTTTAGAAATCTAGAAATAGTATAAGAATTTATTTTAAATATTATAATAATTCGTATAATTCCTGACATCGATTTCTCTGTTACAGACTAGCCCCCGCAGCCTCCAAGTCGCTGATGCTCAGTCAAAATTTACGGAAAAACCTAACCGTGCGAACGATCAACAAAGGAACTATTTCAGTAACAGAAAAAATTCTAGTTTATACTGACTTCTTCCGTTCTCTACTACTTATAATGTTTAGTGACTCTGTTCATATTTTTGTTTATAGGCATAGGCTGAAGTAGTAGTGCACTCATAATTCATCTGCAACTATTTTTGGATATTAGGCCCCAGGGACCGGTCTACAAGTAACATTATCCAAAGCAGCCTAGAGAGAGCAGCACGCCAAGCGTGATTTTCGCACACATCGGTCACTCCACCATCAGCTACATCACACGTCGTTGAGTGCGCGAATTCTCGAAAATTTTCACGAATTCTTTACAATTTGTACGAATTCCTAAAAAATTTCACGAAATCTCGAAAAATTCTTCAATAACACGATATTGATTCATTAATCATAAAATGTTATACAAGTCTGTCTTCACGGAAGCCGTATTCCATAGTCATTTTAAAAATTATAGCCTGCGTTATGTTGTGTTTTGACGCGCACGCAAAGCGCAATTTTATGCCAAGAATTAGGGTACTAACCTTTAGCATCACTGGGTCCCTGTCTAAAAAAAACTTCATCTTATGAGGTTCTTCATCAATATGAAAATACGAGAAAAGAAATATTTGTGTCTTAAGCTTAAATAAGTTTGTTTTCTTATGACATTTCTTCGCATACTCCGGACGGAAAAATTTTATTCCTGCAATTAGAATTGTAGTAAAATTTAAAAAATGAAATTTTCAGCTCATATAGAATAACAAAATATAAGAAGAATATAGAATAACAATAGTTATTCTATAGTTGATTTTTATAGTTGATTTTTCCCATAATTAAATCCGGCCCATTCTGATTTCGGCTTTACTCACATCTCTGAGTTGACGTCTCCATCACCAATAATCTCTACGGTACTCCACATCAGAGATCAGCTCCCTCGCATACAAACCTTTGAATTTCAATTCATCCTTGCATCGATTATTCCATCATAGTTTGTTCTGAAAATTGCTGATTCCAGGTATCACGATTGAGGAATGCGGTTCAGAGCTCACAAAGTCTTTATTCATTACCATCATTCTCACTTATCGCCTGTTATCGCCTTGATAATAATGCAATTGTTGATAAGCAACTATAATTTCACCTACTCTCTTAATTCATATGTACATTAATTATATTTTCAGATGTTAGTTTCCCGGTTTTCCCCTCAAATCGAATGTCATTGCCTTTTATTAATAATATTTAACTTATTCTACAAAACAGATTAATGCAAGGAGACGTCGCACCGTCGCAAATTAAATACTAAAACGAAAGAATAATCTTCTCTTCATATTTTTATATCATAACCGTGTTTGTGCCACAGATTGTAACTTCTTCCTGAATAAATAAAAGAAAGTTTGTTTATTCTCGCCACCGATCACATGATTACTCGATAATCCACCTTAGACGATTATCATAGCTGTATTACTCGTATTTTAAAATACTGCATCAATTTACACGAATCTCGCACCACTTCGATCGGGTTTACCAGGAGTGATTTTTTTTAATATATTGTTAAAAAGAATTATTGACACAGTCACCAAGAAGTTGCCTAATTGAATGACTAATAAATGCTCAGTCATATCTACAAGGCTATCTAAAATAAATTTACTGTGTTACATATGATCAAAGGTAAATGTATCGATGTACAAGTATTAACTATGACTCCTTTTATATTATTAGCTATATGAACAGGTTCCAGCTGCTTTCGCGTTTGGAAATATGATATAACACATTTGTGGGTCAAATCGAAGATCTAATCAAAGGTTACTTTTTGCTATGGAATAAGAAACATCGCATCACCATTCAAGACAAATTTCACTCAAGTCCGCGGAAATGGAAAAATTAAAAAATGTTGTTCTCTATTCTGATTTCTATTTTACTGTAGTTTTGTTATCTCTATCGTTTTTCACGCGTTGTCAATAGATATTGCGATATTTTTCATGTTCGTCAAAATATTCCTACTGGATAATTGTATGCAAGGACATATTAAAAAATTTTAAGGGGGAATTTTGTTCTACTAAACGTATTTTTGGTTTACACTCTTGCAACGCAAGACTGAACGATAGGAGCAAATGAACAACTAAACTATAACAGGCATCTGTTCATAAAGAAACGTTTAATATCGTAATCTCAAATCCCTTTTTAACATACGCTTAGATTCATTCGTGGTAAATTTGAACGAGCAACATGCAAATATTTCCTCTTACGAAAACAGTCTGCATTTTGGTAATCAATAGTCGCACATGTCATTGTCAAAAGAAGGAATATTTGCTGCCATGTTGATACATGCGACAAGCTCTTCAGAGAGACAGAAATTTTTGTATGTGTTTTATAAAATTGTGAGAAGGTAATCAGTAAGATTATAATATCAGTGAGATAAAAATGTTTATATAGGAACAGCTCTCATACCAAGATTGCTTCATGACAGGGTTGTCATTTTAATTCCTTTCCTTGTCTGAAGCTTTCAATGACCATTTGAGAATTGTAGCTACTTATCGCATGCAGAAATGTGCTTGGTCGAAGGACATTGATATACAATTTTGGGAGAGATTTATTTAACTATAAATAATCAACAACAATGGAACAACAATAAAACTTGAAACGATTATATATATTTAACAAACGGACGTACGACCCGATGAGTGCTGATGAAGCTTAGCATTTGGACTATTTACTTAATTGAGCACATGCTTGATATTTTTAAAGCTTTGAACTGACGTCATTCATGATGTCAATAACGTTCTGGATTGGGTCTGCCCCGGAAACGAAGCTTAGCATTTGTCCGCGGAATGCGGAGCGTCTGCTTGGAGAGGGGGCGGAGCGGGAGGTCCCGTTGCCACAAGTGATGGGGATCTCGCATGTGCTCTCGACGACTGGAGTGCACTTGGTGGTTTTGGGGTTGGTAGGTGAAGCGCAATGCCCGGAGCTGTTTGAGGCGTTAGGATCCCAAATGTAATTCAAGGGGCACCTCTTTAGCGTTTGGATGAAGTCACCTTCTTCTTCAGGGTCAGCGATACACAGGTAGAAGTTCTCGCAGCTGCTAGGATCTGCAAACCTTCCTTCTTCGGTGCAGTCAAAAGTCGTCGTAGGCCAACTGCAAGGGTCTGAACAATTCTTGGTGTTGTCGTTGAACATCAAATCGTCTTCACAATCAAAGATTTTCTGCGCCCAGCCTGATGATGTTCGGATACACATGTAATACTGGCTGCAGTTGGATGGGTTTGAAAAAACTCCGCTTTTGGTGCATGCAGGGATCCCTTCAGGGTTGGTGCAGTCTATCAAGGTTTCATCGAACATCATCTCATCCGGGCAATGATAAACCATCGGATCACTGCCGTTCGATGGACAGAAGTAGAATCCGTTGGGATTATAAGGATCTGTCTCAAAATGGTTGTCTTCCTCACACTGACACTCATTGTCTTGGGTTTGTGTTGTGTAACAAGTGGCCTGGCCCTCGAAAGATGCTGGCGTCTGACATGTGAAGCCAGACGTACAAGTGGAGTCTTCGAAGGCTGTGCCATTAACGCAGTTGATGACCGTCTTGCAGTCCACGCAAATGAACGAGTCGTTCGTACAGAGCTCGGCATATTGAGGATTGGAGCTAATATGCCTTGATTTACGGGGTGAGCAATCAGGAACCTGGAATGAAAATAGTCATTAAGTACAAATAATTATGTTTTTCATTTGACATACGAATCAAATGTTGTTCATCTCTGAACCTAAACCAGTCAATAATTGATGAAATAACAGTCGAATAGTTTTGTCACTAATTTCTCAGTTTTGAAATGTGAAGCATTAAAATAAATTGCAGTTTCAACTGGAATTTCTTGCAATTTGGTAACTAACAAGACAGGAAGTAAATTTGTCCGTGAGCTTATAGAACTCCTAAAATAATTTAAACTACAAAAGCATATACTTCAAAAGATGAAAATCCCATGAACTTCAGAATAAATCGAAATTTTGAAGAAATTCATTAATAGAACTGTTGGGAGCCCTTCTAGTTTTATTACATTCATATCTGCTTGAATTTTGTTTCGATGATCTCACTGTTTCAGTAGAGACGCAGACTTGTCGTCCGGCGTCAAAGGCGTATCCTCTGCAGGATCCTTCGAAGGATACGTAGTCCCCGTCGTTGTCCTTCACGCACGTGAAGAAGGACGTGCAGTCTGAAGGGTTGGGGAAGCGGCCTTCCTCTTTGCACTCGAACCCAAGACTGGGAAACGAAGTACATCGTTAAACTACTAAAAAAAACTGTTGTGAATGGAGTAAGAAATATATATCTGAATATTGCAGCATTTCTATGGAAATACGTCCAAATGGACAAGTATAAATTGATTTTTAGCATAATCATTTCAGAATGTAACATTTGCTCACGAGGTTAATAAGTATCATTGCCCGACTTATCTTTGTTCATCCAACACGGAAATAGTGTTAACAAAAATTCCAATCAAAGTAACTAACTAAATCGAAGTAATAAATCGTATACTGTGTCTCTAAAATACCCCGTAGCAATCGTGTAAATTATTTGCCGCTTTGAACATGCGTGATGGCTGGATTTATCTGTAATCTGTTAAACTATTCAGTTCTAGCGTGTTGTGTAGGTGATGTACGGCTCTTGAACACGAATTTGTTGTATTGTTGTACAGTTATTGTACATCATCATGTAATATAACTGTCGTATTACTGATGTATACCACTTTGTTGCGTAGATGTTCACGATAAATGCAATCAACTTCTCCACGCGACAAAATTTCTTCTCGCTTCGAATCACCGACATGTGGAACAGCCTCCCCGCTGACATCGTTGGAGCTCCAAGTATGAACGCGTTCCAGAACAGACTAGATAAAGCTATGGAAAAATATATGTTCAGATTTGAAATGCCTAGCTCCTTATCGAACCCGGTGGAAGTCTAGTAGCTACTTCAAACTATCGTCAGTCATGAAAAGATCCGGTCAAATGACACGAGTTTAGATCTATGAACAAGGCACGAAAAGGAAAAGAATCGGCGACAGGCCACATCAGGCCTACACTTCAGCGCCGAGATCACTATGTTATGTTATGTTAATACATTGCATACTCACGCTTTCGGACCAGCAGCAACGTAGGCTACCTGAAAAATCAAAACATCGTTATCAACACTGGCAAAATATCATATAAAGAATAAAGAATTCCGAGTGAGGTAAAATTTGCGAAAAAATGTTCTTTTTGCTAGAAATTTAAGTGGCATGACTGCGGCAAGGGGAATTCATATCATTCACGAGTAAATGATAATAAATGAAAGTGACCTCTGTTCTCATAGCTTTAGTTATGCGGATACATTCAGTATTACGTGGGTTTCAATATAACCTATTTAAAACAAATAAAATGGGCTCACATTTTTTGACAAATGAACTTTTCTACTTTTTTCTATCGCAAACATAAAATTTATGTTTTTATTTGGTACGCGTGTTCTGGTAGCAATTCCTTGGTGTAAAGAGTAGAGTATTGTTCAAATAGTAAGTAATGTTCATAGAAGCAAAAAAATCATCAGGGAATCAGCAGGCCAAACTTGAACATGTCATATGTTTCATAAAAACTGGAGACGCAATGGCTGCTAAAATGATTCAAGAAATTCGAATTTTGCGTAGAGACGTAGTATAAATTAAATTGAAGTTTCGTATTCATGACGAAACTTTTTCCTTGAGATTACGACACTACAGCGGCAAGAGTTACTCTTCCATTGGTTTGGCTTGAATAAGACACTCGTGCACACCGAGATGACTAGAAGAGCTGCGTGGAGAACGTGCGAGGAAGACATGATGTGTGCGTTAACTTCTGCTGCTGTGTCCCGACTGAGTGACCCGAGCAACAGGCGAGCCCTTATATACCGGCCACTGCCGCTTTCCCTTGTTACTGTGGTGTTACGCCACGGAAATTTCCATCTAAACAAGATGGAAATGTTGAATTTTTATTTTTAGATATTAATCTATATGAACATTATCTTCTGAATCGATTGCGTGCTTCATCCTAATAAATTCTACAACTTTCATTTTAAAATTTTCAAGAATTTCGTTAATAAATATAGCTGGCTCTTTTCTTAGTATTACTTTCACGTGTTAAATTAACAGAGTTTCTAAAAGAAATTAACTGAGTTTATAAAAACATAATATCTGCATCCGCTAACCCAGTCGACTCGGTTGTTCAAGATTTGATGCCTTCATTGTTGAACGCCGAGATGGGCTGACTCAATTTAAATAGCATTTTTAACTACTTTCCGGATTAATTGCGAAACGATAATGTAGCCGCGAATTGCTAGAGATTATTTCCGATCAAAATATGTCTTTAAACGTACCTCCAGTTACTTAGGAGCCTTAAAAGAAACTGATGAATTAATTAAAGTATTTATGTACTACTGCCCCACCATTTCCGATGCACATCACTGACGACGTCTCTATCAAATTGACGTAGGTGCAGTACGAGCTACATAGACAAAGCTGCTGAAATACCTCGCAACAGGAAAGGTAAGAAAGGCCGGTTTTGAAATGAAAGAGTTCCTTCTACACGCAGCAAGCATGACGGGAATTGTTCTCCAAGAGTCAGCTTGGTGTCAAGCCGATATGTGTTCGCAACCTCTGTGGGACGACAAGCCAATTTGATATAAGTAGTCACTGCCTGTTCCTTAACTGAGAAGTTTCTTGACTATGAACCTCATGTGTCAACCGTTAAATTTAAACTAAAGATTTTTTCATGTGCTTTCGCTAGTGCTGCCCACGGGGGATTATAGGACTAAAACAGTAAGAAGTCAGACGAGATTTACTCTTATATTCCTGGGGAATATTTCCTTAACGGACTTTTGGTTCAAGATGCAGTACTAAAGGTGAGAGTTCATGTCACAGCATCTGAAGATTTACAACACACACTAGATCTTCAAAATTAATTTACTTTAAGCATTTTAAAGCCGTGTGCTTTCGTTGTTTCCTGCTGCTCGGATATTTATGAGATTTTACTTTTAGGGTTTCCTCCAAGACCGTTTCGTAACAGTGCTTAGTAAGTTATCTCGTTAACAAATATCCGGTATCGGGAGATTGATTCTTCGAATTCGAGAGTGACTGGAGAGAGAGCGAGCACTTTCAGCGCACGTGTAGAACCGTCAACTTTGAATAAATTGATTTGCACGTCGGCATGACTTTCTAAATTACAAGATTCTTTTCCGAGTGCCTTAACGACATGTATAGGTAGCAGGTGAGTGGAGAAGAATGAATTTTGTTAGGATTGAGTTTGGGTAATGTCGACTTCATGTAATGAAAATGAACAATGAAAAACACTAAATTTCATTTATATTTTATTCCTGTTCGTTGTTAAGGTGTTTAAGTTTTTCCTGGATAAAGGTTGTCTCGTCAGCGATCAAAATTATGTTCCTGCTGGCTTAATTTCAATTATATTGAATTGAACTTTAAATTAAACTGAAATTGAACTTCAATCAAATTTATATTGACCTTTGTCGGATATGGGAATCTGCTGAGCTTGAAATTTACTCGTGTCAGGATGGAAAGAGGAAACTGAAACTTTTAAATTAGTTAAAAGCCTGTACCAATATGAATTAGAAATAATAATAAATATTAATTTAGTAAAGCAAGAAAACAATTGCATCATATTGTCATTCCCAATGATTTTTATGTAAATCGTGTAATATATGACCTTAAACTACTTATAATTGTTTGTCGAGCCCCTTTGAATGTCTTAAAAATTATTTGCAAGAGAATTTTTTTTAAATTTTATCGTTGTACCTTATAGCATGAGGTGGAAAAATTTATGTAGAAATTATTAGTCATTACCGTCATATATTGTTGATTATTATCAAAATAATAATTCATTTCGTTTTCATTTGTAGATTGAAATTTTGTTGAACCTAATTCAAGTTTCAGATTCTAGTTTGAATATGATTATCAAGCTCTGTCTCTGGATCAATATAACTATAAATCTATGGCAGTGTGAGCTTTTGTCGAACTTTTTGGTCCGTCGGGGTCTTTGTCAATCAATGACAACGCCAAACCGGGTCTAATATCAATCTGGGTCTAACATCAAAATCTGGTTCTAACACCAAAATCTGGGTCAAACATCAAAATCTGGGTCTAACATCAAAATCTGGGTCTAACACCAAAATCTGGGTCTAACATCAAAATCTGGATCTAACATCAAAATCTGGGTCTAACATCAAAATCTGGGTCTAACAGCAAAATCTGGGTCTAACATCAAAATCTGGGTCTAACATCAAAATCTGGGCCTAATATTCTAATGGGTCCACGCTGTGCCTCTCAACATGCTGCGATTGTCAGATAAGTAAGGTCAGGGAACTCAGTTAAAAAATTTGTATATCCTAATTATACATAGGAAAAATTTTTCGAAGTCGAATGCCTCTTGCAAGACGAGCATGATTAGTTGAAGAAGTGTCTGAGAAGTAAAAATATACCTTGGAACGTTAGTTTTTTTCCGAATGACGGTGACTGGTTTTCAAACCATGGCAATGAACTAAATGACCTCCTTCACAGTAATTTTGCATAGTAGTCATTCCTGTGCGCAAAAATTACAGAAAATTCACAACTCAAAAGTGAATCACGGATCGATTGAGTACCGTGTTGGAGGCTCGACAGAGCGGCTCAAGTTACACTTGCCCGCTTTGCTGCCGAGTGGCAGGTTGTGCTTTATTGACAGGTCAGCTATCACTCCTAAATTTTTGACTGACTGGAATTGAGATAAAAATTTCCGTAAGTTTGTTTAATTCGAATGCGCATTACAATTTATTTTGGAAAATGACCAATAAAAGAAATTTTTTAGCTGCAAAATGTTTGGCTATGTTGCATTTTACATCTAAGAAATATTTAATTTTTGTTTTGTTGAATGCCTGCGTGATAATGCTTGTAACTAGTTTATACGGTGATGTAAATTTTTTGGTTTTCGCAAATTATGGAACTAAAACATCGATATAATTAGAATTCTTACTTTTTGCTTGCATCTCTACCACGATTGTTAACATTATCCCTAATTGGACAAAGGTAACTCTCTATGTTGAACAGTCGTAACGTTATTTAATTTTTTTTCATAATTTGCGTGCATTTGTACAGAGTAGACTAACTGATTATTTAAAATTCTTTGTAAAACGACTGATTATATTACCCTTATCAAAACCAGAAATGAAATGAGCTTATGCAGCTAATTGGATTTGCCTGAAATTATGCATTTTACACGACTGTCTCATCGCCCAAACTTCAATTCTTCATCATAATCATTATCAAAATTCGATTTAAATTAACAGAAATTATTCACCGTAAAATAATCAGAATAAAATTAAAGGTATTTAACTAGTGGTAAACAATCATAATGAAATTTGTCGTGCTTGCACTCCTGCTTCATTGCACGACCAACGCCCGCGCTGTGCCCTGGATAACCGAGAGCAAAGCAAGCAATTGCGCGCTTGACGAGCCTCAGATCGCGCCTGTTGCTAACGACTTGATGTGCGCGCTCCTCTGCGGCCAAAAGAACTGCGACTTCTTCCATTTCGAAAACGGTGGGTGTGAATGAAATATAATTATTTTTTTGAACTGAGATAAAAATATTTCTAAATTGGATACAAGAAAGTGAAAATTCTACCTGACCCGTCATAGATATGTAGATCAATTGCAGAATTATGTTGTAGTATTGGCAATGCTTGAACCAATGTGTGGTCATTGTCATTGCAGTTAACTATACACAAAAGGGCTTCAAAATTTTCAATCATTTTGATGCTTCGCTTGTTGACAAATAAGCTTTTGGATCTTTCTCTTCAACTTCCCTGTCAGTCAAGATAACAATCAGAATCAAATTATTTAAGCCCTGCAAATCTAGATTCAGTTTTGCCTAATGCTTATCGTACACTTAAATCTCAGCAAAAACAATTTACAGAGAATAATCTTAAAGCTAAATTAACCCGGTTTCAGTTAACATTTTTAATGGTGAAGAAAGCTACTAGTCAATATCGTCATAAATAATTATTTTCTTACTAAGATGCATTTGAAGATATTCCTAAAGTTTACCCATGATGCGGCATTATTAAGTTAGCCGTGAATGCAGATCATGATTAGAATTCTCACATGTGGATTTTATGCAACCCAATTTAACATGTTCCAATATAATAAACTATGTTTACAATAAAAATATATTTTTTACAATAATAGTCCAAAATAGTATTTATTCTCAAATTTCGAAATATGAAATACGCAATATACATATACGAGGTATACAAGGAATTGCGCACAACTTAATGGATGCATTGCGCACGGCCGTTGTGCGCAGGAGTGTGCAGCGTCTACCCTGCGGTGGCGGCCACCGCCGCGCCATCGATGCGTTTTGAGCGTTTTGGCGGCCGTGGCCGCTACAACAGCGCGCTGGGCAAGCCAGTGACAGCCACTCCTCCTATTCTGCCAATATAGCAAGTTTTAATTCTGTCCAAATACCCTGATATACCCGTATATCTAACGATATATTTTCACTTATATTAACACATTTCTTTTTATCACGAGTAAAGCTATTTGTTTACTAATCGATTATATTGGAAAATTTGCAGATGCCGCCGTGACTTTGTTTACAGTAGATGAGATGAAATGAGTTAAATTTCTACTAGGTGACTGTTTAATTGTTGCCATCAACAACAAGATTCGAATAAACTATTTGATTATGAATAAATCTTGACTTGAATATTCGAATAAACACTTGCTTATGCAAAAGGAGAAGAAATTAAATATCTAATCATTTGTTGAATAAGCAATTTATATAGAATTAGGTAAAGTTCCCGTTACCTAGAAATTG